AAAATTGGAAGAAGAGCTTAAAAATTCACAAAAAAAATACAAAGAACTACTAGAAAATATTTAATATTTCAAATAGTTCCTTCCAAAAACATTACAAACAAACCTTTTTTAAATCTAAAAATTAGAAATAACCTCTTAAAAAAATCTAAAAACTACATCAGACCCTAAAAATAATAAATAATCTTTATTAGGACATTTCTACCAAAAGTTACTGCGTGTTAAGTGAGAAAAAAACATCCATATCCTTGTGTTTATTTATAATTATAGAAGAACGACCAAACAGGCCCCGAATGACGTGAGGGCTCAAAGTCAACCTCCTCCCCTAGGAGTCCCTTGACCAATATTTCCCCTAAAAAAATATCCAAACTCATTATTTGATTACCTACATGTCTATTATGAAACATGTGTTTATAATGCAAATTCAATGTTTGGATGAAAATACCAGGCGTCAGAGCTATATGATCTACAATAGTTGAAAATAAAATTTATCTACATTGAATCAGAGAAGTTTTTTGAGATACTTAATTTTTCTTTTTAATTTTCTTTTAGGAAACATGCTATTTTTGGTCCCATCAAATTGATTACTGTATGCGTTTTTCTCTGCAGGTTGTTCAGTTTACCTCTAATATTACATCACGACTGAACATAAAAAGGGACAAATTTTAAAAAAGAAATTTTCAAAAAATAATTAGTAAAATCGATCCTTTTATGACAAATTTAGCAAAATCAATATTTTTTGATCATGTCATCACGACTGACCAAAAAGATGTCGATTTTGTAAAATATAATCTTTTTATAGACTACCAGTCCCATGTAATTAGCGTTTACTATTTTGCTTATTACTTCACAAAAAGGTTGATTTTACTAATTATTTTTTTTAAAAGGTCTTTTTTAAAACTTTCTTCAAAACATGAATTTGAAATATAGTGATTCCTTCACAAATAGACGAACCCAAATATTGTGTTTATAATCAAATAAAATCATAATTAAGATTGGTGCATTAAGGACCGGTTTTGTTGGATGGAAATAGAGTTGCAAGTGAAAAAATTGTGTAAATCATGCAACTAAAATTATGTTTCGCTTGTTTATTTTGTAAAATTCAATTAGGAAATATAGTTAAACTTACAATTTTCTAAAAAATGCAACAACTCGCAAATAATTTGGTGGGCGGAAAAGGTGCGGGTTCCCAAAAGACATCGGAAACTGAACAAATAAAAAAAATAATTCTACCTCATCGAAAAAAATCTTTGCAAATCCAAATTGGAAAATCAGCTACATTTGTGTTTCCTTATATGATAAAATTACGTGGATTTTGCACAAATTATTTTTTAACCAAATCCTGAATTTGTATTTGAAATACATTTCCCTATATAAAGTTCAGATATCAAACAATGAATTTGAAGTTAATTTACTTTAGCAGCAAAAGCGGTATGATGCATTTAGGATAAATTTTCAAAACAATCCCTTTTGCAATTTTATTCCCAAAAAATGATCCCTTTAATTTTTATTTGCAAAACCGACCCCGTTTCAACCTCAGCGCTGAAACCAGGTCGGTTTTTACAAAAAAAAAACTTCGAAACTTCACGGGAGTTGAACTTCCGTGAAGTTTCTTAGTTCAAAAACAAATTTTTTGAACTGTAAAACTTCACGGGAATTGAACTTCCGTGAAGTTTAGCAGCTCAATTAAAAGCTGCTAAACTTCACGGGAGTTCAACTCCAGTAAAGTTTCGGAACTTTTTTGTAAAAAACGACCTAGTTTTAGCGCTGAGGCTGAAACCAGGTCGGTTTTTACAAATAAGAGAGAAATTGGTTGTTTTTTAGGAATAAATTTGCAAAAGTTTGTTTTGAAAATTTGTCCGATGCATTTATTTCTATAATACTCGCTGCAATTCATTTTTGCAGCAAACCAAGCAGCGCAAGACGTCCATAAAGGGCTGTTCGTTTCGCAAAAACTTTTGGGAAATCAAAGAATAGGAAATCAAATAATAGGATTTCTTGAATTATGGTTGTTTGGTTGGTTAAAAAAAGAAGGAAATCAAAGAATAGGAGATGAGATGAGATGAGTTGTCATCATATTATTGGATGATGTGAGTGATTTTTTAAGAAAACTTGTTTTGATGTTGTTTGGTTGGTTAAAAAAATAAGAAAATGTATTATAAGAAACCTATTTCCTATAATAATTTTTTTCTTGTGTTTGGTTCATTCTTAAAAATAAGAAAATAGATGAGATGAGATGAGTTGTTTGTATATTATTGGATGATGTGACCCACACTTAAGGAAATCAATTTCCTTTTTTTTTTAGGAAATGGGTGGAAATGAAATGTTAATGAGATGAGATGAGTTGTCACCATATTATTGGATGATGTGAGTGATTTTTAAATATGAGATGAGATGAGTTGGATGATGTGACCCGTTTCTTGTGTTTGGTATATTTTTAAAAGTAAGAAAGGAGATAAGATGTGATGAGTTGGTGGATAAAAATAATATTTTATTGATAAAAGTGTATAGATTTCTTTTTCTTGGATTGAGTTTTATGGATGGAAGTGGATAAAAATAATATTTTAATGAAAAAAGTACATAGATTTCCTTTTCTTGGTTTTTAGGAAATCTCCCAACGCCAAACAAACGGGCCCAAAAAAGCACCTAGTTAATGTGGTGAAGCAAGAAATTGTAATTGAGCCTGCCAAACGTGGAGCTCAGCTAGCCGGCCCATGGTCCGCTCGACTATGCTAGAAATGGGCCTTGTGCAATATAACAGAGCATAGTTTTTTTATAATCAGAATAGAACATAGTTTTAAAATTCGAAATATCGTCAATCCGCTCCTTCGCTCCTCGACTTCGCCTTTACGCCTCGTTTGGTACGCGAGAATGGACATAAGTAAGAATGGAATGGAAGAATGAATGGAATGGATTGTATGTGGGAATGGAATGGTCATTCCCATTCTCATGTTTGGGTACTTTTGTAGAATGAGGCTAGAATGAAAATCTCGTTCTCATTCCCATGTTTGGTATCACTTGTCCACAAAGTGAGAATGGAATCGCATTTTCTAATAATGTCCTTACAACAACATATATTTTTAATAAGATAAAAATAAACATTAATGATAATAACTAAACAATTTTATTTATGCATATGTTATACTAATTTCTGTGCATGTTATACTATTGCGCATGTTATCTCTCAAGTGTATGTTCTATTTATATTTTTTAAACAATACTCACTATTTCTTAGTCTTAAAAAATTAAAGAAAAATAAATAAAAGATTATCGCATCTTTCATAGGTCCAAAAAAATATAAAGAATGATATCCACAGTTGATGCATATTGCATATGAAAAGGATGTCAGAATTACTAATGTGGAAATCAGTTGATTAATAGGGGTATAATTAAAAAATAAATAACTGATTTGATTCTCTCTTGAATGGGAATGACCATTCCCTATCTTCTCACTTGGATTGCCCATTCCCACAAAAAGTGAGAATGGTCATTCCCTGGGAATGGTCATTCCAACATCTAAAAAGTTGATTTGTTTGGTATAAAGGAATGAGAAGTGAGAATGCCATTCCATTCCACCCCATTCCCACCTACCAAACGAGGCCTTAGGGTCTGTTAGGATAATGAAAGTATTGAAAGTAAGAAATATGTTATAGAAATAACTTTCAAAACGTACTATAAAGTAGGAAGTAGTGGAAATAATATTTTTTTGTTTGTTTCATATATTTTTAGAAGTAATGAAAGTAGAACTTCTTCCTCTTCATTTACTTTTTTTGTTTGGATATTGGATAACATTTAGAAATATTACTAGGAAGTAATTAACACATGTTACTTTCACAATTTTAAAGCCACGCCACACTCTTTAATATGATCTAGCATGTTACAATCAGTTTCATGCTGCTATGACCCCTCCCCACTTGAGAGCAAGAATAATCCTTCAACCACATAACTTTAAAATAATTGTTTACCTCTCGCCTACGATGAGATTCTGGATGACCATAAATTCCTATGAATCTCTAATTTCCCTCCTCCATCGCTCATTTGATCGTAACATCAACGTGATATTTAGACAGAGAATTAATAGACAAACTGTCTTCAACCCAAAGAAAAGCTGGCCGACGACCATCACAAATTACTACAAAATAACTGTTAAAATTAATAGCAATTTTATCAATGAAAAGTTGTTAGACGTAACTAATAAAAGAAATATTAATAAAAAGTTATTTATTTCCTAATTAATATGCATTTCAACTACTTCCGAGCTATTTCTAAGTATTGAGGATTGGAAAAACATTTTAGAAGTAAGGATGACACGTAGGCACAGCATAAGCGTTTAAGGAAGTATTGGAACTAAGTTTTTCAGAGAACCAAACATACTTTTTTTGCTTGAAAGTAGCATAAAGTAGCCTCTATTTTTTTTATTTCAGTTACTACATAATTACTTTCATGCAAACAAACATATCCTTAATTAGAATCATCTTTTTGTTTTCCACATGCAAAAAGGAGGAGGGAGCTTTTTCAGAAAATAAAAATAAAAAACAAAACTTCATGTCAAAAAAGTAAAAAAAGTAAAGAAGGGTTATTTTCATCTTGGTCCCTAAACCTTTAATATTTTGATTGGTCCTCCAAGTCATTCAGGGTTTATATGCATCCCAAAATCTTATAAGGATTTTCAATTTAGTCCTTTTAGTTAGTAGTTGTTTGATTTGGGATGAAACATTCATTTAATTTTAAAGTATTGGGTGATTAATTTCAAAACACTAAAAAACACTCGGGCATATGAAGTTAAGGGCGTTGTCCATATAATTTTCATTTGGGCATATGAAGATTTTGAGGACTAATTGCAAGATATCAAAAATGTTGGGTACTAATTATAAAAAACCCATAATACCACCCTGCGCGGTTCAAACAGGTCCACCACCCAAATAATCGGTGGACGGTTTGTTACTCTTTTAAAAACAACCTTTTTTTAGTAGTTTCCTATTTTCGAAAAAAAATCAACTCAAAAATAAGAAAATAACAGTAATTATCCATACACACATCCAGAGAGAGAGAAAACAATAACAATAAATTTTTCTCAGATTCACGCTCTCTCTCTCTCTCCAATCTCCTTCGCTTCTCTTTCTCTCTCTAGAAAATTTTCGAGGGGTTGTTTCGTGGAAACGTCGTTATCGCCGCCGCCACCGCCGCCGCATTGGATCGGAGATGAGTTGGGATGAGGGGAGGGGGAGAGGGCTGATTCTTTGAATCTTGAGCCGTTTCCTTCTTTAGAGAGAGAGAGAGAGAGTGAGAGATTGAGATTTGAGGAGAGAGAAAGAGAGGGGGAGGGGAGAGAGAGAGAGAGTATGTGCGATTTGGTGGCCCGCACGGGTCGGCATCAGCAGCGATACAAGGATGGGTATCGCCTTGTCGCGGGGTGAACCTCTCTCGACCTCATCTTTCATGAAATGTGTACATTTTTTTGGTGCTTTGCTATCTTTGGCGATTGATTGATTGATTGATTGATTTGTGTATCCATTTTCAAAGATGTGCTTACTCCTTTTCACATTGAATCAAATGATCTTGAGGGGGAAATATTTGGTGGTGAAATCACATTGCTTTATTATTATTTTTTTTGGGGGATTTGCCTATGGGTAATGTTGTGGTGGAACCTTTATTTGGTGCTAGGAAACCAATGGCTTTAATGTTTGGCAAGCTCACACAAAGCGCTAGGCCGCCTAGCAGCCGGACCCAACTCCTAAAGCGTAGGTATTGATAATAAATATCAATATTGTAGAAAGTGCTAGGCACTACTTGGCACAAGGCTGGTGCTTAGCACCTAGGCGAAATTTTTTCTTTAAGGTATGTTTGGGAGATGACTAAGGGAAGGGACGGAAGGAAAATTTTTTCCTTCCTTCCCTTCCCCTTATTTACGCTCCAATTTGGGGGGTAAAATTTTAGTTCAATTTTCCCTCTCATTCCCCTCCTCTACCTTTCTAAATAGAACTCCCGAACAAATGTAAATAAAAAATTTTCTTCCCCTTACCTTCTCTACCCTCCATCCAAACAGGGAGTAAGTGACGGAGGAGGAGGTTTTTTGAATGTTAGAGGAGGTGGAGGCGTTCATCGTTAGTGGATGATGGAGAAGTTCAAAAACCATGGAGGCTGTATCATTATCAAGACCTAAGTAGTGCAGTCTGCGAATGCGGTCCACGCTCTAGGCACTCTCAAGACCTAGACGGGCGGTTTAAGTACCCGCCTAGGCCTAGACCCCTAATCTCAATATCCATCCAAAACTCAAACATTGCAGTCAATATTAAGATATGCCCTTAAAAGGGATGATTAACTAGAGCATTTTTCTGTGGGAAACATTTGCATATTTGATCAGAAGATCATGTTGAGGCTAGAGACTTCTAAGATGGAAGGATAATGCCAACAATTTGTTTATTATTCCTGGAATTGTCGTGAAGGATTTATTTGGTACTAGGAAAGCAATGGTTTTGCTGTTGGGGTAATGCCTAGAGCCCTAATTCAATACCCAAAACACAACCTTGTTCCCTGACGTTCCATCACTAGACCCGGGATCCTCCTTTTGGTGTAGAGAACGATGAGTTTATAGCGTTGCTTTTGATGTTAGGATAAACCTTTAAAGAGAATGATTGACAAGAGCATTTTTCTGTGGGGAAACATTTGTGCATTTGATTATAGGTTTGCGTTGAGGTTAGAGAGTTCTAAAGATCAGTTTTCTGTGGGGAACATTTGCGCATTTGATTATAGGTTTATGTTGAGGTTAGAGACTTCTAAGAGGCTGTCTTGTACCATAAATGGAGAGTACCAATAATTTCTATATTCTGCTTGATATTGTGTGTTGATGATCCTTGTTTCGCTTTTCCCCCTTTTCTTACTCAGTTAAAGCTTTAGCTTTGATGTAGGATAACTTCTTGAAAATGCATGCAGTCCTCCGTGTGTAATTATGTGCATCTTATTCTCACTTCTGTCCTATATTTACTACCTTTTGCTAAACATGGGCAATCTTGGTGTGATCAAAGAGGGAATAACTTCCTTTCTACTTATTTATTACCACATGTTAAACTTATTCGTTCTGACTTTTATATGTTCATTATTGGTAGACTTCAAAACTATCATCTCGCTTTCTATTTCACAGGATTGTTACATGATCAATTTGTCAATTGACTTTGTTGATAAGATGGAAAAGTAGTTGTACTTATGCATATGATTGTAGCCTAGAAAGCCTGCATGCTCATAGACCAATTGCTTTGCAACTTATATATGGACGCTGAATTTTGGTGATAGAAATTGAAGAAAAAATGCTGTCTAGTAAGGGATATGCTTTTGTTGCTTTCATGTTACCAAAATCATATGTGTATGCTTGTTATATTGATCATGCATTCGTTAAACAGAAGTGGTAAGTAGAACTCTTCTTATTACTATCTCTTGCATAAAGGCAAACATGCTATACGAACACTGAGTTCTTTTACAAGCATCCTGTTACAGTTCAATAAGAATGACAGGTTGCATGTTTAGATGATATATTGGTGAATGTTCAGTAATATATATTGCTGAGTATGTATTGAAGTATGGTTTCCTTCCTCAGGTGTGTACCATTCAAATATTTTAGCTGCGATGAGAATTGTGATACAAATACGAAGAAAATCATAAAAGTTCTTATGATTAATTCAACTAGTGGGCCAGGCCTTTTGTTTCCAAAGGTATGATATTTTGAGTTTTACATAGTTATCTGCGTATGACATGAGATGCAATGAAAATAATCCAAGAGAAATTAACAGGGAAGGCAACAAGGTACATAATAGCTCTGGTACCTTTATGAGCTGTAATTTGATACTATCATGAGGAAAGAAAAGACCACATTTTATGATTATTTCTATTCGTTGACTCTCTGCCACTACTTGTCTACATCATACCATATTCCTAAGTTGTAGCTGTGCATTGAAGCTGCGATTTGTTTCGAAACTTAGATAAGTAAGGTAGCATTGGGATACTATGGTGTTTTTCTTATTTCTATGGTGTTTTGTAAAAAATAAAATACTATGTGTTTGGAAACCATGATGTTTTTTTCAGCTAAAACAGCCTAAAACTGAAAACACAACACTTATTTTAAAACAACTAAAATGTGTTTTGAGCTTGGTGCTTTGGTTGAGTTTGAGGAGATGTTGATATGAGATCTAACATAATATATTAAATATAATTAATATAAATTTATTATCAACACACATATTATATTATATATAATTTATTAAATTATATTATATGATATATATTATATTATACTATAGTTAATCTAATATATTAATGAATATATCTCATAGTATAAGTATATTATTATACTATAAATATTTACTGATTTATCATTATTAACAGTGTTAGTATTCAATAAAAATATATTTTATTGTGCATGTCATTTTTTTATATTATTTATGAATCTATTTATTATAATTTAACTTTATACCTATTATTAAATACAATTATATTATATAATATTAAAATATTAATCTTTTGTCCTTAAAGTATTTATATATATTAATAATTAATATATTATCAAAACTTTAGGTCTATATACTATATATAGCTTATAAAAATATAGAGTTGTATATAATATTATATAAATTTATTATATATAATGAACAATGAATCTTATTATATGAATATAATATTATTATTCCTGTTATATATTGTATTCGATTATACTTATGTTATTCATTATAAATAAATTTCAATATAATTTATATTATTTATTATTCATATTTAATTATTTTTATATATACTATTTACATTCTATTAGATACATTGCTTCATGTGGTCCATGTGATGCGCACCTCGCGACAATCGCGAGTTTGCGGCGTACCCGGATCCGGACGCGGCTGAGTATTTTCATCGTTCGTGTCACGGCTTCACCCTATAGGGTGCACCATCGGTGTGCGCATGAAAACGCAACGCACGTGCTCGGACATAAGTGGGCGACCACAGGGGATGGGCATATATTTAATATTGCATTATTTTTTGAGGATTAGTTATTACACTATTTCTTCGAATTACTTTATCTTTTTTTATTTATTTAAATATAAATTTAATATTAAATATTTTCTATATATAGTGTATTCAATCATTATTTTCTCTAATTACTTTTATTTATTTTTACTATATATTAATAATATTTGTGATAAATTTATATTTTTATTATTTATTTTTATATTTATCCTATGTAATATAGAATAATTAATAAGAAATGTTCTATTTATTCTGGTTATATTCTATCTATATTAGGATATGATGCTATGAATTATATATAGTATTACTATAGATATTATAATCCTATAATTCATTTAATACATAAAATTTAATTATAGGTGTGTATATATATTATTTATTATATTAATATTTTTTTTTCATATAAAATCACCTCATATCATCCAAAGCATCCAAGCTCAAAAACTTTTAGTTTTTAAAATAGAGTGTATTGTTGTTCTTTTAGGCTGTTTGCTGAAAAAATCTTGTCCAAAATGAATTTATTTACATAACGACATAGATAGAATGACATAGGTTATCAAATGACCTGCTTATCTAAATCCGAACCAATGCGTTCATGCAGAGCTAAAATTAGAATATTGTATGATGTTATGAGGATAGTCCGAGACTAAAGTATAATATCAATTGGTTCTATTTCTCCATGTGATTACAACCGGTTAAATTTACAGAAGCATAGGTACCTTTTTCCCTGTAATCTCTTGATATATTTCATCTGGCATTCATGCTAAGCATGATACTATGTATCAAAATAATATTACTGGAAACAAGCCTGAGCCAATAAGTGAATTAATCATAAGAACTTTTATTATTTTCTGTATTGAGCACATTTCACGTCATCTAAGCTTGAATTAACTAGGAACCCATCATATATCCAATAATCTTACTGAACATTCCCATATATCGATAAACATTCAACTGTATTCCTTTGCTGTTACAGCTGTAGTAAATCCCAGGTTATCACCATGTTTCATTTATAAATGAATGAAAGTCTACACTTCTGTTAACTGTATGATCATATATAACTAACATAGCTTTTGTGTAAGAACAAGATATCACGTCTAGAATCTTGTTCGATTTATACAATGATTCATTATGATATTGCAACAAGTGTATAACATTGAGAGCAGCTTCTCGCGGCAATATATGACATAAGCATACAATAAATTCAATCTATAACCCCGTAATTGACAGTGGATAGTACCTCGGGCTAACAATCTTTAGCAATAGGTTTGAAGGATTACAATATGACATGAACCTTATAATCAAGATAGATTAATTGTTATGTATATAATAGAAAGGAAGTCCCTCTTTGACCACAGCATCCGTTATCAACCAACTTTTAATATTAGGGAAGAATGAATATGGAAAAATTAACAGGATGACAGCTTGCAATTTCTCAACTATCGGAGCTTATCTGGTAGAAAAAGGGAGGGGCAATAAGCAACAGATCATAGCAACAATATCACTATGCATATATAAATTAATTGGTCCCGTATCGACAAACATTTGGTCTCTAACGTCCAACTAACTTAATAATGGCTGCAGTCCACCGAAACGATATTTAAATATTCTCAACGCCCAATATCAATATCACAAATTTCCACCAGAAATGTCCTCTCTCATCTTAGGTATCTACACGCCAAAGCAGGCGCGCCTACTAGTTCACTAAAGGGCGCGATTTGATGTAACTGTCGGTAAGTCGGTCTTGGAATATTGGTTCAGCTTACCCCAACGAGCATCCTGCTTACTTGAGCCCAAATCATCAACGAATCATCATAACAAGTTTGTTCTATCCTCCTCAGTTAGCCCGCAGTCCAATAATCAAAATGAACATGTCCAAGTTTGCATTGTAGATTTTCCGCTCTTAGGCATTTAATAATTGCCCTGATCTTTGTCGCCTTGGCCAATAAATAGATTCATAAATAATATAAAAAAATGACATGCACAATAAAATATATTTTTATTGAATACTAACACTGTTAATAATGATAAATCAGTAAATATTTAAGTATAATAATATATTATACTATAATATATTTTATTATACTTAATAATAATATAATAATATAAAATAAATATTATAAAATTTTAAATATTATATGGTCTATTATAATTAATGTTTAATATATTAATAAAAATTTAAATACTATGTTATACAGGGTTAGCCTAGTGTTGACCAAAAGCACTCACCATGGTGTTTTGAAAACACTTGGGGGTGGGGGCGCAAAAAACCATTGTGTTTTTTAGATAAACACAACAAGAAAAAACACAATGGTATTCAAATGAAGCCTAACATATTTCTAAAACATGTATCGTGAGTATAACCTACCATTTTCTTTCTGGCTTTTGTTTGAATTATCTTTTTAGCTTTTCAGTGTATATCTGGCAGATCCTATGTCTTAGGATGACACCATTATTCATGAATATAGTTTTTAGATGTGATTTCTATAGGGAGATTATGGTAGTGAACTGAAGACGGACGAAAACATTCCATATAGCTATGGGATTTCTTGGGATCCATTAGCCCCATTCTTCTGACTGATATTTTGTAGTGAAGCCTCATCCAAGAAAGGGAGTGATAACGGCAATCAACTGAAAATGAATTATTAAGGAGTATTTTTTCTTTGAGAAACATCATTCAGGGTATTGGTCTTCGTTGAGAATCATTAACCTTGTTATTTTGACTGTATTTCACTTATGTTTTTCCATGAGGCCCTGTTCAAGAATAAGCTAACATTCTATGCTTGCACCAAGTATAGGCATTAAGCAGTTCTAATTCATACTCTTAAGGTAATTCTCTGCTTTCTTGGTGCATATTATGAGAGAAATCAACAAAATAACATACTAGTATGAAACTGTTCGTCTTAGAGTTTTAATGGATATCCCAAATATTTATTGAGTTACGGAACTTATAGTTATCCTGAGCATGTATTTTACTGTGTCTTATTTAGCGAAAGGGTTCATGGAAGTAGAAGTGATGTGGCTCTGAAAGAGTTTTCTCACTTATAACTTGAATCTCTTAGCAGATAAGTCGACAGAATCATCAACAAGCAAGAATATCGTTAGCAAATGCTAGTGAAAAATAGCAAGGTGGCCTCTCTCTGCTGGAGTGAAGTAGGTTGGTTAGTTTAAATTTAAAGAGATGAGATCTCTAGCTACTGCCAATGCGAGTAAAAGTAATAAGATGTCGTATTTCTAAAACATGTATCATGAGTATAACCTACCATTTTCTTTCTGGCTTTTGTTTGAATTATCTTTTTAGCTTTTTAGTGTATATCTGGCAGATCCTATGTCTTAGGATGACACCATTATTCATAATTATAGTTTTTAGATGTGAATTCTGTAGGGAGAATAAGTAGTGAGCTGAAGACAGAAGAAAACATTCCATATAGCTTTGGGATTCTTGGGAACCATTAGCCCCATTCTTCTGACTGACATTTTGTAGTGAAGCCTCATCCAAGAAAGGGAGTGGTAGCGGCAATCAACTGAAAATGAATTATTAAGGAGTATTTTTTCTTTGAGAAACATCATTCATGGTATTGGTCTTCATTGAGAATCATTAACCCTGTTATTTTGACTGTATTTCTCTTATGTTTTTCTATGAGGTCCTGTTCAAGAATAAGCTAACATTCTAAGCTTGCACCAGGTATAGGTATTAAGCAGTTCTAATTCATATTCTTAAGGTAATTCTCTGCTTTCTTGGTTTATATTATGAGGGAAATCAACCAAATAACATGCTAGTGTGAAACTGTTCGTCTGAGAGTTTTGATGGATATCCCAAATATTAATGAGTTAAGGAGCTTTAGTTGTCCTGAGCATGTATTATTCTGTGTCTTATATAGCGAAAGGGGTCATGGAAGTACAAGTGACGTGGCTCAGAAAGAGTTTTCTCACTTATAACTTGAATCCCTTAGCAAAGAAGTCAACAGAATCATCATCAAACAAGAATATTGTTGGCAAATGCTAGTGAAAAATAGCAAGGTGGCTCCTCTCTGCTGGAGTGAAGTAGGTTGGTTAGTTTAAATTTAAAGAGATGAGATCTCTAGCTACTGCCAACTATGTAGCACGGACACGGATCCGACACGGCCATCCGACACGCCGACACGAGGCAAATCCTAAAAAAATACATAGGATACGTGTGTTCGACACGTGTGTCCGACACGGACACGACACGACACGGCTTCATGTTATGCGTGTTCGTGCTTCATAGACTGCCAATGCAAGTAAAAGTAATAAGATGTCATCTTGCCAAAGTTTGCATGGGCCAGTAGAACACGCCATCATGAATTTGCACCCTCATTTATAATGCATGGTTTAATCATTTCATCCAGGTTAACTGAAGCCTTTGTGACATAAATTTTGAAGTAGGAAATCATTATTATAGGAATCAAAGGCTTTTTGAATTTGTGCATCGCCCAAAAGTTAGCACTGGATTTAGAGATATAGTAAACCGTTAATAAATTTGAACCCTACAGAATGTTGTCCCAACTACTTATTTACGAAGTTTGGCACATTTCTACATAGAGCGAAGAAGGTTTAACTGTTTAACATATTTTACATGATTGGGTAATGTCACTAGTAACAAACTGGTATGAACAATTTTATAAAAACAGGTGCTTCTGGAACTTGATTATGAACATCAATTTTACCAAAGTTTTTGATTTATAAAGGCAAAAAAAGTATTACCAGAAAACGGAAGAAATTAGTTTTGTCTATTTCCTCCACACTTCCTGTTGTAGCTTGGGCTTCTATGCTACTGGTTTCAGGTACTGCATCATGTCATCTATGTATCTATTCACTGTTTTCTTGGTTGTGCTAGTTTTCAATAAAAGATATGTTTAAGCTTAGAGAGCATGGAAAATGGATTGTTGACATGGACATGTAGCTACCGACGTGACACACAATGTACTTTGCAAAAGTACATAGAAAACAGTTAATACAGCAACAAATGTTTGTGGAATTTAAATAACCAGGCTACAGTAGTTATGCTTATCATGTTTATACAACAATATCGGTTGCAACCATATGGGATTTTGTCATTTATTGTGATTATATAACCAGATAAATTATGTTTGTACAAAAAGATCTTTGTGTCGCTCATTTGGATTTTCCATATACAGTACACACAAGAAGATGTAGGAGGTCATTTTCTCGTTGGTTGGTACAGCATACTCTTGTAGCTTCATGTACTTGCTTCAACCTATACAGCCTCTATCTGGAGTTGCCTTTGATGGTTTTGGCCGCCCTATGCAGTTTTATCTTTTCAGTGACCGATCCAATGGTCCATCTGTAGCAGTAGTACCAAAAGTTTATTTGCTGCTGCTTATATAGGTTTTTATTGCCTGTTGTATGAGCTGGATTCCTCGGAGAGCATAATAAATACCTGTGAGTAGGAGTGTAGGAATCTCTAGGATTGTCATGTCATCCTATTTGAACAATAATAACATGGCTTATCATACGTACGAGGAAATCCATACCTCTCACCTTTTCTTTCCTAAAACCATCCATGTCACTAACGCGAGGGCATCTGGACTTGAATGACTCCTTCCTTACAGAAAATGAACATTCCATTTCTTTTAGGAGAGGACAGGATTGGAGGATGGGAGGGAGGACATAGGGGGTATTAAAAAAATAATGATATTTAGAACCGACATACAAAGAGAATCTTATTCTATATATTATAGCAGCTAGTTCTAACTAATATTGAGGAGTTCAATACATCAACACATTAATTAATGGGAATTTTTCCTATTCCAAAATTGGAAGTTTTCTAGCCACGGAAATTCCTATTATTCCAACATTGTTCATCTTTGACTAGTCAAGTTGGGGGACAAGACATTGTTGAAAATTTGGGTGAAAACATGATAACGTACGCTATTGCGTGGTTTTATTTATTATAGTTTTTTGTGGATAAGCTTGAACACTAAATAACTTTTCATACTGACAGAATACTTCAATTGGAACGTGCCCTATATCATCTTAAACATAACTACAGTTTAGTGAGATCGCGGCACGGCTGTGGATTGAATCCTGAACTATTGTTCAAGTTCTATAAATGAAGGTTAAATAGACATTTTGATGATGATCACCACCAGAAACTGGCCAAAGAAAGAAGCTATTCTACAAGCTCATCAAAAAACTTTGACCTCAAATAATCTGTTCACTTAACTTGATGGAATTGCTGAAACCCCATTCTTTTCTAAGCTACAACTGCATAAGCGAAAATGAAAACTATTTGTGTTTGCACATTCTGTTTTAAGCTATAACTGCAGTGCATAAGCGGAAATGAGAACTATTTGTGTTTGCTTGTTCTTTTTTCTTTACAAATAGTACAGCTGCGCTTGCCAATGTAATAACTCATCTCATGTGCAACACAGGAAGTTCTATATTTGTTGATGTCTCTTTTATTTATGGTGAATGCTTTCTTGTTCGAAGTGTAATTTCATTTATTATCTCATCACCAATGTTTTGGGGGCAACTATGCAAACATGTAGGCGTCCTTTAAAAGTAGGAAGAATTTAGTGACTTGGCATGATCATTCTTAGACGATGCAGGCAGATGATTTATTGGCTACTGCCCTAGTTTCCATTAGATGAACAAAAGCAAGTAGTTCTATGTTGCCCAAACTTATTTCATCATCTTCTAACAGGGAGGATGGGAAAATGACGAAACTGTTACAGAGGCAGCTGTACGAGAAGCCATTGAAGAAGCAGGCGTTAGAGGAGTCGTCAAGGTAAATTTCAATATAAACTAATGTTGACATGCATATTCATTGTGCAACGACTATTAAGTTCTAGCGAATATATAGTGGAACATATACTTATATTGCATATAAGATGTTTCAAGCTAGTATTTATTATTGTGTATGAATAACCAACATGAAAAAAGGTCAAATATCTTTGCGATTTCTTATAATAGCCGTTCTGTTGGATTTGTTCTACACTTGGAATTAGATCTTTACCACTTTCTTTTCTGCTTTTAGAAAAGAACGCACCTACACATTCTTTTGATAGTTTATCGCTACATCTTTACTTAAGTAAAGGTTATACTTCGGGAAAATGACTTAACTTGCAATGAGCATGTCAAAAAGATTGGTATTTGTTGCCCAATTGAATTCATTCAAGTCATGTATCAGAGCTTCTATTGGTTTTTTAAACTTTGAAAGTACGAGAACTTTATTTGTCTGGTATCTGCAGAGGTTTGGTTGGTTTGAATTCGTGGATTTGTATTATTAGTTTTTGGGTGACGATGACAATAAGATATTCGAGTTCTTTTGAGATATAAATAAGTCTAAAATTATCAAAACCACTCTTACACAAAAGCTCAAGTTGTGCGCTGTGAGTTAGCACTATATGTCAGACAAAATTTGAACGCTTGAAAAAGAGCTGTGGGAACCACAAATCCATTGAGCTGTGGGAACCACAAATCCATCATGCTTTTTGATCAATTTTCATAATTCCATAATCGTCCTAATATGCTACATGGTTTGGAAGTCATTACAAAAATGCTCAAACTTCAAACTTTTGGTTTGACTTATAGTTTTATATTCTAGCATTTAAGCACCTTGCATTTTTTGTAAAAATTATTTATGTGCATCAGGTGAAATATGAATTTGTGTGGCTCCAGTACCACTACCATCTTAACTCCCTTTTGCTGCATCAAAACTCCAAACCTATGGTGAAATTTGAGAGATATTTATTCTAACACATCTGCTTATATATTCTAAGACATATGCTAGTTGAGATTCTTTATACGGACTGAATTCCTGACTCATTTGAGCTGTTACTTTCACTCTGGTTTTTAAATGTGGGCCACTAGGCCTAATTAGATTCGAACCTGTGTGGTTCTGATAACATTTTAAAATCCATAATACTATAAAAAATGCTCTCAAATTATTTTTAGAATTGAGAGGGTTATGCCATCTAAATTCTTTACTAGTATATGAAAATGATAAACTTGTGATGAGGATTGAAATTTATTTTATATTTGTTGTTTTTCACACACATCCTTTCGGTTCAAGTTGAGCATTCTTTTTTATAAGCTGAAACTCAGGCTCTTGCATATAGATATTTTTCAAATCCTCTTTGAATGTGCATTGGGTGGAAGTTGAAGCTAGGTGACTTCCCTAGTGCATAAAATCAGTGAGTTAACGGTTACTTTTATATCTAAATTTTTAGTTGGTCTATCGGAAGTTGCAGACAATCCAACTAGGCATATGGTCACTTATGGTCACTTTTGAAGATTCTAAACTAGAACTTATATACTGTATGGACTTCGTAATAATTTCGGTTGCTGATACAATGTAACTGGAATTCAACCGACTAGAAGAAGCCAAATGGTTTTATGCACTTATTTTCTTTCTGAAAATTCTTCGTTTCAATGAAAGATGGGTTTCAGTTGAGATCGCTTCACACAAATTGCAGGTTTTCACTGAGGGCTGCCTCAGTGGTAAGTTATTTATTTATTTTGTTTGGGTTTTTGGGTGGGGGGGGGGGGGGGGGGGGGGTTTGGATCGGTTTAACTCCAGTCTATGGTCCATTGCTTTTACAAAAGACAAAAAAAAGTTTTATATATGAAATGATGACAACAAGAATTATTGGTTTTCCTTTGTATTTGAATATTTAAGATATTCTTATGGCTGTGATGAATATTATTAGAGAAGCATAAAATTGGTATGTTCAAGTTCGCTTTGGGGGTATTGTATCAGCTTGAGTTATGATTAACCTTACCTATATTGAATAAGTTGAAGTTGATAGCTTGTTTAACCTTTTATTAAGTGATTGCGGAAAACTTACTTATTGAATTTGATTTCTGATCATTTCATGAGGAGTAGCACAAGGTTTTTAAAATTTTCCTATGAAATTTGGTAGATTTTCTGTAAGTTCAGTTGAGATCGATAGGGATTCTTAAAAGTCCAAATATTTTTTTAGAGCATGTCTTAAAGTCCCTGCCCACCAAAACTCCGAAGGTATGGTAAGTGTTGAGGGTTATATTTTTATATTCTAACCACATGCATATTCCAGATAAATGACCCAAATGAAGAACTCAAATACAATGACATGCACAACCAATAACATTCTGCTGTAGTGGCTATTAGATTATTATATGAAGCCTCAATGCATCAAGCTCCTGTTTGGGATTGGTTTATAACTTACTTGGCGTTAGAGCCTAAAGTCAAAAACTTAATCCTGAAAAGACAAATTATTGCAGTTAAAGTGAAGCTAAAGTTTTTTCATGGTAATTCTTTTACTTCCGGATACTTCATGGATTTACTATTTTTTTTTCTTTAAGTAGGAAAAAAAACTGCACTCTCAGTGTCAACTGATGTGGAGTGAACGAGCTTGAGTTCTTTATATTTATTTTTCTGGAATCAATGGATTGTGTAGTGGTGCAAACAGATTGGATATGAATTGGATATAACACTTGCGATATGTGTTCAGGTTTACTAGTAACTGATGCATATACAACTAAAGATATAGTTCCGTATCCAATCCACATCCACCAAAGTCGAATATCGATACATATATTGGATGATGGGTAATAAATTCAGTATCCGTCGGATTAAGGGGGTTTAAATTTCTCTTTCTACATTTCTTTTGCGAGGGTAGGTAAGTAACCGACAAAACATTTTTTGAGGCTTCTCTTTCTACGTTATGTGTGAGCAGGGGTTTTTATATTTCATGTTGCGTGGTGAACAGCCACTATTTCTCTTGTGGACTTTTGCTCAAACCGAACTCTAATTCTTAACTCGTCATTATGCTTTGGTCCATTAGTTTACTTTTCAAGAAGTACACACAATTTTGTCTTTCAAAATTGCCTGTGTATATAATATTTTCATAATCTGCATCATAATTCAGCTGGTTCCATCATATCAGGAATACCTGGATGATTATGAATTTAGAAGCAAGAGTCACCAGGATGAGTTGAGCCCCGAAGGATGGTGCAAAGCATCAATGTTTGCCTTGTATGTCGACGAGGAACTAGAGTCATGGCCAGAACAAGAAACTCGCGAGAGGAAGTGGCTTACAATTCAAGAAGCTGCTCAACTCTGTAGGCATAGTTGGATGAAGGATGCCCTCTTTAAATTCGCAGAGTATTATGATAATGCTGATAACAATGATAGCAATATCACTACAGAAGACGATTCAATCCCTGCATCAAGATAACAGACAGGGTTGCATCCAAAAGCAGCTGGAAAACATTAGAAGCCGACTACTTGCAAGTTTCTCTCTCTTCTATTTGTTTATGGGGATACAAAGGATCGGTAGTGACTCTTCTCCAATGTTTTAAGGTTCTCAATGTTTTCGGTCAGTTGGGTGCTACTTTTTTATGCTCTTACTTATGTAATTTTATTTAGTGGGAATCAACTTTTGAAACTTACACATTGCAACAGATACGGATACATCGCTGGTGGTAATTGCTCTAAATAGTGATGTATCCTTGCTTCTGAGGTTGCGTACCAAAAATGTTAGGGCCCCAAGCGACATGTATTTGGTCAAATTGTGTATGGAGATATAATGCTTTGGTGCTCCTCTAAAACAGGGCTGTAGAATGTTAATCTCTCACTATCATGGCAATGTGTCTTGGAGGGTTATCTCCGCCGTAACTGCGAAATGTAAACAAATTCATTGGCTCTCTTCTTTAGTCTTGTGTGCGCGCGCGCTTGAATAATTTTTTACTGACAGGTCTAGACTTCTGGTTCCTGCTATATTACAAAAATGAAGAAATTTTCAAAACTGACCCAAATCATGTTTTTATTTTCAAAACCGACCCATTTTTTTTTATCAAAATCGACCCACTTTTTGTCACGTCAGCTTAATCTTATTTTCTAATTAGTCGGGGTTGCTAACCCCGACTATTTAGGACAGCAAAAACCAGGTTTAAGGTTTCTAATTGGGGTTTAACAATCTCCTAAACAGTTGAGGTTGCCAACCCCGACTGTTTAAGAATGTGATTAAGCTTACGTGATAAAAAGTGGGTCGATTTTGATAAATAAAAAAAAGTGGGTCGGTTTTGAAAATAAAAACATGGTTTGGGTCGGTTTTGAAAATTTCTTCTTACAAAAATCACTGGTTTATTTTTTTTTACTGGGGAATAAAGTCTATCTTCTTTTTGTTATCCTAAGTGAGACCAAATCGGCGCTGTCTTAGCCTAATTAACTGTGTAAGTTGTTGAAGCCTTCTGATGTAGGTTTGAACATGAGCCAAGGGGTTGCCTAGTGTCTATCATACTGATAGACTGCCTGAAAAGCACGAGTCTTGTAGAACTTTATAATGTTGGTTGTTTGAACGTATTATACATTTTTTTTGGTTCATGCAAAATGTTTTAATGAGAAAATCATGCAATGGTTGCAATTTTTAAAATTTTCAGAGTTCGCACATAAACGGAAGACAGGAAATGAGCTTCCATCTTTCTTTGCACTTACGTTGTCATTTTCTCATGAAACTATTTCAGTTCATTTCGATTTAAATTAGAAGATAGATATACTTGGTTCATATCTCGCCGGTCAAAATTTGTAGGAAGTTGTTGAAGGTAACAATCAAGTGGCTCCGATAGACACCTAAATGAATGCGAATGCTTTGAAAGAGTTTTGAGGATGAAGAAAGTTATACAAATATGATGCAACCCTTAATTCTGCATAGCCCATGCATCCTTTTATGGTTTAATCAATTGTTAGTTAACCATACTTTTGCACTTCATATATTCATGTATCAATAAACAAAAAATGGGAAGTTTACTTCTATGGTCAACATATATAAATGGAGTACGAGCAAACAATCCACCGAGTACTGAATTTGATGGCCTTGAACATGGTGATTTCGATTAATTTACAGCGTTGCCAAACAACTGGGATTCATAAAAAAAAAACCTGATTCCTTAAAGTGTTTTCAGCATTACAAATCTCTAAATATCAAATGCCTACACGGCGACGAAGTCATTGCTGCAGCTTTACTCTCGGAGCCTGCTCCTCCATGACGACAAAACTTTTTAAGACCCACTTCCATTTACTTCCCATCAATGATCCTGCTAACAAAAATCCAAACAAGATTTTCCAGAAATTTATTTTCCTTCAGGTTTCTGCATGGCTCGATTTATTGGTTCTTGGAAGTACTGTAGAGATATAAATACGGCCTCCTACATATACAACATTTTAGGTGAGAATAAAAAATGACAGGTTACAAAGCAATATCAGAAGCAATTAGGGAAAATTAGAAGATATAAGTACCTCAGTCCTAATTGTTCTGCTACCCTGATGAGGACATATATTCAAGTAAGTATCAAATACATCGCGGGGATCCTTTCCCTGTCAAAAAAATGCACTAATTGAGTTCAATGAAGTTCTTCAAAAAAGTATGTTGCTCAGATACTCTATTTGACAATGTATTCTAAAATCACCTGTAGCATGAACACAATATATAGATACAGAATCTTGGTATGTCCCATCAATTAAACATATATTTGAAGGGTACCGTTCTAATATTCCATTTAAGTTAAAGCTGAATCCGAAATTGGATATTAAGACTAGAAAATGTAATGAAAGTGTAGAAATAACATAGGCACAATATAATGATAAGACATTATTAGGACTTAAATATTTGGGGTCAATATTACAGGTGGGTTTGAATACAAGTAATGGTAAGGGAAGGCAATGATTCACCTAAACCCAAAGAAAGGGGATTGTAGGGGAAGGAACAAAATAGAAGTAATTGTATTTGGATAGAGGAGGGAAGAGGGGGTACACCCCAATTTGTGTTTGTTTAGAGCAGAGAAGGGAGGGAAGCCTGCATGATCAATATACCTTTTTGAAGAAATTGAACTTGTAAACGTTTCTTTTTTTCTTTCAGGACAATTTTGGAATAGTGGAAAAGTTTCACTTACGCTCAATCCTTACCCTCCCAATCCGTCCACTTTAGGTGGGTTAGGAAAGTGAGTGAATTTGCTTGTTTTTTAACCCTCCGATCCCTCCCCCTTGCTAGTTAAAATTCTAAACAAACACTAAAGCTCAATCCTTATCCTCCCAATCCGTCCACCTCAGGAGGGTTAGGAAAGTGAGTTAATTTGCTTATCTTTTTTAACCCTCCCATCCCTCCCCTTGCTAATTAAAATTTCTAAACAAACACAACTTGTGGAGGGTTAACATCCTAATCTTCCCAACCCTTCCCCTCCCCTCTTTAAAAGGCGTATCCAAACTCGCTGTACGTGTCTTTAGCTTAACTTCCTGGCAAGGTTACAGAAAGCGCTAGGCGGCCTAGGCAAGACTCAACGCCTAGAGCCTAGGCGCCTAGGCGTTTTCCTTTTTTTTAGCTTTTAATTGCAATTACTGATAATAAATGCCAATGTTATTGAAAGCTTATATGCTGGCCTGATACCTAGATAGATTTCTTGAGTGGTGGTGGAGGATGTTTCGTTTTGAATTCACAAGAATTCAGCAATAATGAGATCAATGACTCCATTTAACTCTTCCTTTCTCGTTGATTTTTGTACTCCTGAATTATTGGTAGTAATAAAAAGTTGAGTGTCATGATGATTCTGCTTTAGTGATTGTACAGCTCCACTTTAATATAAAGTGCATGATTCTTGTACTCCTGAACTTTTGGCAGTAATAGAAGTTGAGTGTTCATGGTGATTCCGCTTTAATGATTGCACAGCTCCTCTTTAATAAAAAGTGCATAATTTGAAAAATAAAAAAAATCACAAGTATCGAGAAATTGTAGGTTTTCCTTTCTAAAGGGTAAGTGAAAGTCAAGGGTAGTATTCATAAGAACAAAATCTTCATCAAAAGAAATAGAAAACATTTTCGCATATCAATTCATAATTCAGAAAAAAAATACTTGAATGTATTTTATAGTGGTTAGTACAGTTGACAAGGACATCTATTAACCCATAGGTGTCTAGAACAAAAATAGACCATTATACATGAAATCAAAACATCAAGAAGAGATACCAGAAAAAATTATTTTCGCCTAACCGATTGAGAAGATATTTTTTCATGGAAATATTTACCTTCAGAGCTTTATCTTCTTCGATGCTTTCCTCCAAACCAGCAAGTCCTCCAAATGCAATCAAAAGATGCCTGCAAAATTGAAAGCCTAATCACTTGAGAAACAGACAACTAAGACTGCTTGTGCGAGAACAAAGAGTTTGCAGCTGTGGCAGAGCCACCTTACTGACATAGATGTAGAAATCTATAGACTTTAAGTGAAAGACTGAAAGAAATATTGGTCATCTAGAAGTACACAACATAATCGAGACATGCACCAGATTGAAAGATACAAAACACATATAACAAACATATCATATACTTTCATAACATGGAGTCCATACAAGCCGTGTAATAAAGAAAATCTGAGTTACCATATACTTAGTTGTGTAAATTCAGGAGGAAAGGTTTCAATATTTTTATCATATTTATCTCAAAAAAGCAAAAGAAAAAGAAAAAGAAATGGAAAATAAAAAGAATAAATGGAATAGTTTCTCCAAATAACTTTTACCCGCAGGTCACCTGGTTCGTTCCCTTCTAATGTAGATCAGTGATTATTATGATAATTGCCATTACTATAGTATCCACGCTGCTATAGTAAATCATGTCATTGCCAGCATATCCAGTGACTACTATAATACCCCCAAGTATCAAGCGCTACAGTTTTTCCCCAACCCCTTATTTCCAGTCATCATATTTAGATTCATCATCTTCTTAATCACTCCTGCAGTAGGGTATTATCGTCTTAATTGTAAAAACATTCTACGATCCTTTAAAATTGGGTAGTGCGCTTTATTCTTCAGATTCTGATGATCCACATGGATACAGAAATTGAATGGAAAAGCTGCAAGACTTATTCTCCTACTATGATATGTTGGCCATGTAAATATATTTGTAGTTCTCTATGTACAAGTGTAGGCTAGAGGGAAAGCTGAAGATTGGTTGTTGAGAATTCAATTCAATGGTCATGTGTGGATGTCTTCGTGGACACACATTAAGGATCTTTATTAAAATAGTTCTCGGTCCTGTATAATCTATAATGTGTGTTTATAGTATTTCTAGTAAACAATTCGCGCACACAAGCAATGCGCTTGACCAAAAAAATAAAAAAAATATAATATCTTTTATGCATCTAAAAATTATTAATGTATCCTTCATTTAATAACAAGAATGAAATTGAGCTTAAAATTCATATAATAGTTTATTGAGCATTAGTGGATCTAAATAAAATAACTTTTATTTTATTTATTTTCTGAAAATTTCTTGGTTGTAACATGAAGATATATATATTAACTTTAGATTGAAGCAACAAAAACTATTATATATAAGAAAATCCATCCATATTTTGTACTTAACATAATTATGAAAGATATTTTTTTCCTAGTTAGTTAAACATATTTTGCTTATATATATAGTATACACGTTGCATAAGACTGTTATTTATAATATGTCACTACCTAGTTTACATCTGTGTTGCATTTTCATTTTTTAAATTATATGAGTTTTTAAAAGGTCATGCATGAAATTTTAAATTTGACAAGGAGATGGAGGAACGGAAGCATGAACCTTATAGAAAAGGGGAATGAAAATTTAAATTTGAAAAAGAGATGGGAGGAATTGAAGGTAATGGAACCTTCTAGAGAGAAGGGGAGGAGGGAGAGATGGAACCCATCTTAATAAGTTGTTGGCAAATGACCAAATTGCCCTTACCTTTTACTAAAATGACGCTCCACTCTTTGACAAATTGAACGAATAATTACCCATTCCTTCAAATTTGTATACCCCGACAATGTTTTTTATATAGTAGTATAGATACTCTTTTCATCCTTTGTTCCTCCATCTACATGTCATGCTTAAAGTTCTTTGAGAAAATGAAATCATTTTCCATCATTATTTGAATTTAATCTCCAGTTAGCATTGACACTAAACTAACACCGTTCCCAAACTTCAGTGTTATGCCCAGTCTAGTACCAGAACCAGAGCCACTTACAATCACTAGAAGAGCCTGAGCGTGAGCTTGAGCGTGACCTTGAATTAGCATTAAGCACCAACATAAGCCAAATTCTTAACCCAAGTCTGAACGCGAGGCACAATCTGATTTTGAGAAGAATCATGCAGAAACTGTAGTAAAAGTCAGGTCGAAGGTAAAGGAATAAGGCAGTCCAAAGAATGGTAAATGTTGTCCTAGGCGGTGAAGAATTTGATGAACATCTCTGTGCATGTACCTTCAAATGTTGCACATGACTCACTTTCTCATATTAGATTCACTATGCTTCCTCGCTGTCAAGTCATATTCTTAACTCCTATGACGTCCTGACTAGTGCAAAAAAATTTCATTCATTTCTTTATTTTGTCATGCTTTGAAACTCAAGGTGGGTTTCTTCAACAAAGAGAAATTTCAGGCAGAACTATGTATAGAAAAAGATAGGAACGGTAAAAGAAACATACACCAAAATTGTGACACCACATACCTACGTGCATATATATTTGGACCAATAAATGTTTTTTAAAACACTTCTCACTAACAGTACGATATTGCCAATTTAATAGAATAAAATAACACTACTAGAATTCCTTATGGCTACTACATTTATCATAAGGGACTAAGGGTAAGTCGGTAACAAGTAGATAAGAACTCAATGCCACTGGATATTACCACCGCTCATGTTTTCCAATCAAATACTAGGTCTTACTTGACCCAATCCACTCCCAAGAGCACGAGTCGGTTCTCAACAGCCATATAAAGGGAGGAAGGGTCTAATTGTAGTACCCTTTCACAATCATTTTCTAGCATGCATAACAACTAGTTCTTTAAGTTCTAGCCTATTAAGATTTCCTACAAAAGTCTCCAGCAAAGAAGAAACCAAAAAACGAACCACTTACATAGTAAACCCAGGTGAGATCATCATATCCACTGTGCTACTTTCATGAAGTAAATACAGTCTTGTCTTATTCTTTCGTTTCTTCAGTCTAATACGTCAAAAGTTTCTCTTTGATTGGTATGGTTATACTGTATTGCTATACTTTCCTTATATTAGAAAATACTTTATGAAGTTAGTAATTTGATAACTCAAATAAATATAATTTTTATACAATACTATTACCTATGTAACTGATTATATGGTTATTGTATTTCATCATATTTGTATACTACATACAACCTCAATACCGCACATATTGATTGATAACACTGAAGATGAACCATCAACATTCAGTGGATTATTAATTGATTGATCAGCATATATCTGGATTATGCAGAGCTTAAGCCTCAAATTGTTATTGTTATTGTTTTTGTTTTATCGTGGATGGGAACATAAGATGATATCGGCAGGTAAGTGGTAAACCGAGAAAATTATATTTCATGCATTATTTCAACATTTTATTTATTGAGTCAATTTAAGATTATTTTTATATTGAATGTTAATTATACTTATTGATAATCTCACTGGGCTAGTGTAGCTCACCCTTTTATTTACCATTTTTTTCCAGATCAAGCAGAAGTAGAGAGAGCTCTGTTGCGGAAAAATAGATGAGAATTTTCCTATAAATAGAGCTTGAAAAAGAGAACTCTATCATGTAAAATATTTATAAAATAGCAGTAAAAGAAGAGTTGGTGGTTTGTATTGTATAATTATAATCTCACGCTCTGAATAAGATCCTGTATAATAACTCTAAGTTATGATGCGTGACAGAAATTCAAATATATACACAAATATGGGAAAAATAATATTTGAATATCTATATGAATACATCCCACAATCACTACAAAAATTTCTCATTTTCTTCATATATTGTTCCGAGTATCATATTAGTTCATTATCTTCATCTTATTGTTATAGTCACTTACATAGTAATGTACAATTACAATGGAAAGCACTGCTATAATTCTAGCAGGTGGGATGATGTTGCTTATTCGTGGGATTTAAAAATCCATAAGGATACGAGAATTAGAAGGAATTGAAAGACTTCTTTTCTTATGAAGATAGGAAGGATGTGCAAGTATGTTTGTGTTATTGTTGAATGTGAAAGCCTAAGGCATGAAGTCTTATGTGGTTGGATGTTAAATCCTAAGGTTTGAAGCCTAATCTGATGTGAAGGAACATGAGGGAGTGCTCGTTTCTTTTGCTAAGACTAATTTTCCACATAATTTGCAAGTTACTACCTTCTCTATTAAAGATATCTATTTATTCAAATTTATGATTCATCACATGTTAGTAAGATAAGCAATATTATGCTTCAGACCATGCATTTGTTCCCGATTAAGTTTAATGATAAGTCTTCTACATGATTTAACACATCAATGCAAGTTTCAAAGTAAGCACATGGACCTTTTCTCAATAGATTTCTCACAAGTTGTTACAAGAATTTCTTCGTCCCCAAGTAAAGCCCTAAACGCTATCCAAATTAACTTCTCACTGCATTATATTTACCCATTTAGACAAAAAGTGGAGAGTTTATCTTTCAATTTCGTTCTAATGCAAAAAAAGTTCAAGCCATAATTACATGGAACCCAGTTCGTTCTGGCTCATGAGACAGAAACGGGAGTGTTATAAGCCACAAGTTAGGAATCGAGTTGGGAAAGGGGGAGGCTTATACAGTATACTAGGAAATATGGTACATTTTAAGTTCGGTTCAAGTGTAGGAACCATAGGTTTTGCAAGAGTCAAGAAACATGATATAGTTGCTATTAGTAACGGTAAAATAACCTTGAGAATCATGTTGCAACTAATGTATGCATGATTTATTTGCTTATTTTTTCACGTTTTTTTATCGTCTATGCTTTTGAAAGAGTTATTTTTTAAAAAAAGTAACTTGAATTCCAAATCAGGTCGCCCAAGTTGGTGAGTTGGGTCGTGTTCCACCACAAATTCAGGAGGATTGAGCCCAGATCATGGTTCGCTACAACATCCCATGATTTCAACATCTATAATTCAAGCAAACCTAGTTTAATTTGGTATGTCTTCATAGTTGCAGTATTATTATTCTCAAGAACTACATTAACCCATGATAACTCAAATTTAGAGTATTCTCTTTTAACATAGTTAAGTTTTAAACAATCCAATGTCAGCAAATCTCAACACTTGGCTCTCTATAGTTTCATCGATCACATCCTAATTTCACAAACATGAATGATATATCCAAAACTGTCACTTTTACCTTGATTATCTTTTGTGTACCAAGCTCAAATGACTGTCTCTACCAACAAATGTTTCTAAGGGCATGTTTCGTTGCAACTTCTGTAGAGGAAAACAATGGAAAGTGAAAAAAATAGTGGTTAGACTTTTAAAGATGGTAACGTATCATCGTAATGCTGATGTGCCACTAGAACCAATAACCCCACCAAAAACTTTTGACTTCGGTTAAAAGTGCAAACCTACTATAGAACATAATAAAAAGAATTAAAATCTAATTACCCCTCATCTCTTTCATCGCTACTTTTCATAATCTCCCCCAAAATCATAAACCGTCTCCCCAATTCATCTATGTCCTAAAATCCCACCCTCAACCTCCACCTTACGCTAGCAGAAGGAAAGGGCCTTAATCTAAAGGCAGAAGGAAAGGGCCTTACTTTTGATCGACTTGCTTTGCTTGGTCTAGTTGATGATTTGAGGTTAAATAGTTGTGTCCAAATGTCTTATTTTCATTGTCTATGAACTTCAATCTAGATTTTTTGTTGCATGTTTTTATTGAACATTTTGGTGTTTATGAACTTATGTAACCTTTTTGTTGTGAAAGTTCTGATTTTTTCGAAGAGTTTTGTATGATTTATGTAAGTCACTCTTCAAAATTGGATGAGTTGCATCTATCTGCAAGAAAACAATATGACGAAGTGAAGGTACTTTGATCTAAATCACCATGCGTATTTTACATTGTTCATTTTTATTGTAAGCAAAATAGTTTGTCCAATGATGTTCTTGAGAAAACAAATCCACAAAATCTTTTCATGTAAGACAAAATCTTATAAATTATGTTATCATTATTCATTCATTGTTAGCTTGAAAAGTTATAAAAAGAAATGAATTCAAGTGAGCATTCCAACTATCTTGGAGGATATTTGAGATAAAAATTGAAGAGATTATATCAAAAGTAAAAGATTTAAAAGGAAAATATTAAATTAAGTATAAAGAGGATATATCAAAGCATGCCCAAGTTTGTAGAAATTTTATTTTCTACTAGGTGGATGCACGTGCAATGCACCTAGTTAAATTTCATGATTGTTTTCTTATCTGATTACTATAAATTGGTTTTGAAATTAATTTTCTTAAATATCCACTTAATCATGTAATTTTTGAGTCCAAACCTTAAAATACTACCATTTATGTTTATTTAGCTTTAATTTTATATGTTTTTACTATCACGATAATATCATTTGAAAAAGTTACTTTTCATACATCGATAGAAGACTACGTTGATCTATGGGATTTTTTGAGAGTATTTGATAAGATTGAAATGCTTTTAATAAAGTACTTATATTTTATCCTCTATAATTTCTGAAACGCAATAATTATTTTGCTTGTTAAGATATAATTTTCTAAACCTTAGGATCTATTAATTCTGATTGGTGGAGCCCCTAGGGCTAATGATAGTTTAGAATCATGATGTTGCTCTCGATAAAACCCAAAAATCAGATTCTACATGCTGGAAAAAATATGGCATTGACTGATTAAAGCATTAATCAAATGTAATAATGTAAGAATGCAAGTCTATGCAAACTATTCAGAAACTAAAAAAGGTTACATTGTGGAAATAGCCACTCTATGCTTTCATAGATGAGCATTATATCTTGTAGAAACTTAACCACTAAATGCATTGAAAGACATTTTATCCTCAGAAAATTAACACAATGTATTAATCTTTACAAGCTAAATTAATCCTTACTTGAGATCTCACTTGAGAATTGTGACAATAAGTGAATGATATTAACACCACAAACTTATATAGGCAATGACCAAAGCTTGATGAGTGGAAAACAAATTTTCTTAATCAAATAAGAACAAGACATGAGAACAGCCAAGGTTAATATAGCTCACAATCTAATTTTTACTTTAAAGATAGAGAGCAGACTACAAAAATATTTAGAGAACAGACTACAAAAATATTTATCAATGGTGGAAAAGTTACCGGAAAAGTTACCGCAAATAAGATGTAAGTAAAGGAAAACAATATACTCAATATCAAAAGGAAGGAAACATTTTTACATAAAACTAAAACTTCAAAACTTCCTATAACCAGCAGTGAATATGTGACAAGAAGACCTAAAAAAAAATTCTTGAAATTAGAAATGCTAGAACCATAAATCACAGTATTTGTGTGAAAATACCAATATTTTGTTCAACATGTTGATATCCAAGAGTATCTATCAAAAACATATCACTCACACTGTGCAAATTAAAGTTTCAATTGTTTCTACTTTCACATAGATAATGCATTTGTTCCACTGGCAAATAACAAATGGAAACAAATGGAATAAAAAACGTCTATCAAATCAACTCTTTAGGCAAAAATATTTAATAAATCAAAATCTTGTTCAAGATTGACAATATTCCAAGAAAATCTCAAATTGATACCTTCTCCTAAATCCTTTACAACATTAACATATGGAAATCATTCTCTTTTTTACTATTCGCGTTCAAGAAATCATCAAGGATTCATTTTGTTAAAATGCTATAAACAGTTAGATACAAAAATTGTTCTCTAAAGAAACAAATTTGTAATGCACGAAGCCTAAATTGATTCAGAGAATCAAAATAATTATCCAAAAACTACACCTGATATATTTGTAAATATTCAGCAGCTTCCTTAAATCAAATAGTGATAGTATCTGTCCCCTTTTTGGTAGGTTAAATTGTAGCTTTGGACAGTTGAGGGGGTGTTTAGGAGATGATAGTAAAGATGGCATTGCAATATCTTTCTAATTTCCAATTCTTTCCAATCGTGCCCTTAGTTTTGCAACTGAAATGATGAACCCAATAATTTCCATTGTGATAAATTTCAAGGAATTGGTTGCTTGTTAAAGGAAGGAGACTCGATCAGTAGTTGATGAAGCGCGCGCGCGAGAGAGAGAGAGAGAGAGGACCGATTAGGTCATAACTTCTGAGATTCTTATTTTCTATGCCACTAAATAATTATCAACAAGTTTATAAGATAGATGATAAGTTCTGGTAATGTAGTGTTTTTAATAACTTTTAAAGGGTATTGAAAGTTTTTGTTTGACTCCCACTTTTAAAGGAAGTATGATATGATTATGTGCAATTTCTGTAGCCATCTTCAAATAGTAAATGATGGAAATTTATGCCATCACCAAAACCCAAAAGTTAGAAAACCAAGAACGCGTAGCCTATCAAACAATATCAGAATGCAGTCGTCCTTCCTAATAAACATCTCCTTGATTTCTCCTCTCTAGATCGTAGCACATGCATACACCAAAAGAGAAGAGGACCAAGTCTCAAAAAAGCCTCAAAAGTTCTGTTCCCATCACACGAAACTAGAGAATAAAGAGGAATTTCTCAGTTACCTCTTACTTCATTTGGTATGCGGATATCAAGTGAAGTGAAAATGAAATTAATATCAGAATGGAATGCTAATTTCCATTCTCACGATTGGGTACAATTTAGAGAATAAAGTATGAATGAGCATATCTAGAATTGTTTTCATTCACGTGTTATTAGAATTTAAATCCCTATAGCATTTTCATGTTACTTTCATTATGTGGATTATAAATGGCAAATCTCTAGTTTTTGAACTAAACATCTAAACAACCCTTTAAAATCATAGTTCAGATCCTGTACCATGTCCAATGAGTTCAAAAAAATGTATAAGTGTTTTAAATTAAAACATGTATTGTATAATTGCGTAGATGCCCAAATATATGCAAGGAGTATCCAAGGAGTTTGGGTATGGGTACGGTTACATGTTGGGTATGGGTACGGCGCGCAAATACAAGTACCCAGGTGACATATGATCACAGTAACGGCTTGTATTAACAATTTGGATAAACCTGTCTTTCAATCTCTTGGAATTAGTATATTACACCCTTTGTTAATAACCATTCCCCATGACAAAAATGTTAATGATAGCAGTTATGACACAATACTAAATAAAAAATCACTAGGCCAAGACTATCAAAAGAACTAGTAATAAAACGAGTTAACAACAGAATTAAAATGATAGGAGCCCAATAACTTAACGTGAAGGCATGTACCTAAAAGTAGGAACAATAAGTTCTGATGAATTAACCTTGAGGCCATGCTCTGATGTTCCAATAATATGATCATACCCATCCTACAAAATGATAATAGGGAGAACCATACATATAAGCACTTGGAGTGAAATTTTCATCTTGAAACTACTGTTTCAGAAAGGAAAGGCAAAGCATTTTCTCTACCTTATAAGGACTTCCCTTAAATACACAGCTTAGATTGGAAGCATATCTAACTCTATAACCCCAATATAATCCCATTTCTTCTCTTGGGCTCGTGGATGGAACAACCTGTTTCAAGCATTCTACACATAATCACAGGAGATATAATTACAAACTGGTAAATTGCAACAAATTTAATAGCATGGAAGAGAACAACAATAACCATGATTTAGCAGAATTCAGGAAAATCCCATGTAAATACAATTGTTTGATAGGAAAAATTGCTCATAACAGTCTGTGTTAAACAAATAACAAATATACCAGAAAAGTGAAACACATAAGAACATCTCAAGGAGCGCATGCCCACATCCACATAAGTGCTGGTCTATTCAACACATTACCCACAATATATTTACCAACTTATACAAGATAAATATTTTTAGCCAAGAAATCCAATAATTACTGCAGTTTTTAATTTTTAGACATTCGAAATTGTAAGGTAAAGACGGACGGCTAAGATTCTAATTTGGATATTCTAATTGCTTTATTTGAATGAGAAGGATTTGGCTCCAAAATCTTTGGAAAAGAGCCTACTCTATCTCTGTCTATCTAACTAAATGCATATAATGAACTTTATTTTGATCAATACTTGTTCAAATGTAAAGACCAGTAGTATTAAAAAAAGGCAACTAAGCATATCATAAAAGCAGTAAAATGACTCCAACAGGTTAATGACAATCTTAAACAATTTGAAATCATAAAATTTGGCAGAATTTGAACTTGCAAATAAGCATGTCTACAGTTAATAGAAATCAAGTATTCATTCACCAGTTCCAATGTTTCGATCAGTCCCCATGGCCACAGTTACACGTTGTCCAGCTTCAAGGACTTGCTCTACCAAGACATTCTGCAATAATAAAAATTCTAATTTAACGAGCATTTTCAAGATTAATGAGTTACACATGCAAAAGCACAAAATCGGCCATTTAAAATGCAATGGAAAAAATGAGAATCAGATCATTTTTCCTGCTAAATGCTTTACAAAGGCCACCACCCTTCCTACATTTCACGAAGTTAACAAGTGAAACTTTGTGGCACAACTTCTAGTGTAACTAAAGAAGCTTCAAAACTTGGTCTGTATGGATTTCAGTTCCCTTTAGGCTTTTAGAAATCTCCAATAAGTGGAACCCAAAAAAAAAAGGGAAAAAAAGGATTGCCACCACTAACGCACTAGAATCGTTAACAAGTTAAAAATGAAATTCAATATCAGCACAGGTTTCAGTTCACCTTCATCCCTACAAAAGCGGGCAAATTTTAAAATAAATATGTATTGTTGTTGTCTATTTAAAAATTTTGAATCATCCAACTTCAGCATGAACACTTCTTTTAAGGCAAAGTCATCTCTCAATAACTACCATGTTCAGTAAACAGTAACTCTCTACAAGACAAATATAAATGCGCTCTCTAAGAAAGATATGACCACCATGGTAGAACCAGTTAACCGCGGAAAGAGTAGTGGTTAATTACAAATCGCAGGTATAGAAGGTTTATATAAAAAACTAACAGCACTAAAATTAGGAACCTAATATAATTGAAGCGCAGCAGATGTAAATTACTTGCATTATTGGCACCAAAAATAAGATCAAAATATAAGGCTAACAAAATTTTGCTGTTGGTATTGACAAAAATTACAGAAAATCCTGATTCTGAAGCTACCTAAATTTTTTTGGCATGCATTAGTTAAAGCTTACCTTACTTAAGCCAACATCAACAAGTGTTCCCTTCGTATTTGTAGGATTCAATGTTACACCTGTTATGGAAGTTGCGAGTGGTTGAGTACTAGAAGGTAATCAGACAATCATGCACATAAATAGAGCGAACTACAAAGACATGGACTTCAGTTTGGACAATATGACAAGATTCACAGCAACAGCTCTAAGAAAAAGGTAACCTGATATACCTCCGTGAGGAATTCAACATCAAAAGAAGATAAAAACATTTATATTTGAAGTTGTACTTCAAAACAAGATAACAACATTATCCTATTATGTAAATCACTTGAATTCTAGGGTATTTTTCCTCAGTAAGTTTGGGATTAAATCTATACCGCTTTGAACAGGAGCACAGGAGCTGATGGTCATATACAAGCAAATTGAGAGAAGTTTCACGGAAGACCAATTCATTATGTTGATACAACAGTGTGGCGACAATCACATTTCCAGAGTAAGACTGCCTAGTTATCATCACCATCCTTCCTGTAGCTACTAAGATGAAGATGGGTAACCCAACTGCCTACCTAGCATCATCCTCTAGAATCCAGGTCACAGGTTCAGGCACTTTTGATCACATGGCTAGTAATCAGCTCCATTATCGAATAGTCACTATGTTTAATGACGAGTATGCACCGGTTTGTGCTGCTATAAAATGCGAGGACAAAGCTTTGATGATAGATCCAAAAGCAAAAAATAAGGGAAACTAGAAATTTCCATAAGAAATATTTCTGACTAAAACCAGTCTGTCTGACAGACAAACGGTCTGACAGACAAAGATACAAACTTTGCCTGAGTGCTAACAAGTAAATGACACTTAATATCTATAAGATATGGATTCCTTACGACAGTTAAATCATAACCAAAAGCTTCAAAGATGTAACACTTCCCAGATTATAACAATAACCCCTCATGCAACTTTTTACTATTGAATTTGAAACTTAGGTTAACTAGCAAAAAACATCAAATTGGTGGTTGAAGAGTTGGTTTCTGCTCTCTTGTGCATTAGTTTGGAAGGTTTCAGTGACTCCGAATAGGATTATCAGGGTTCCTTTATTGCTATCTTTAAAAAATTTCTACAATTGCTTAAAATTTATATTAAATAAAACACTAACGATAACTTCTTAAGATCTTTACCTTCATATATAATGTCATTTAGAGTTATGTTGTATAATGTCATAGTGGATGCTGTGTAATTTTCAAACTCACACAATTTACATAACTAATTAGAAATATTAAATTTAATGATTGCAAAAGTTTCATAATTTGAGCACTGTACGTATGAACTGTCTGATATTGCAGGATTTGTTCTATTAATTAAACTACAATGGTGAAGCTAGTCCCACCTTTGTTTTACAATGTATATTGCTTTCAAACACATCCCAAGTAGATCCTGTCAAGATGATCAAGATTCTTTAAAATGTTTACCGTGATTACAAATAATGTTTAAGATCAACAGAATTTAGGCTCGAGATACAGTCCTATTCTGATGCAAGACATACTTTTGTTTAATCCAGATATCCAATTAGACTGTCCTAGAAAAGGCGAAAAAGGAGCAGCCTAAAAGTTGAAATCTCAGGAACACACAATTATCACATGTTGAACAACATAGTCTGGCATGATATAAAGTGAAAAGGATGAATGTCATTCATTCATTAAAAGAAAGCTCAAAGAACTCATGAATTAAGCACCGCTTTTAGAACATATAACAGAAACATTTATAATACATAAAATCATGACATGTTTCAAGTTTTAACAAAGCTGCACAAAATAACTACTCAGGACTATGACAAAAACCCATTTATAAGAGTTTGATATGGCAAGAGTAGGAGAGAAGAACCCATGTAGAAGAGTCTGACATGAGAAAATGAAAGTGTATCATGTTATCTAGCTATCATTTTGAACAAAATGTGTAATAACTGTTGTATGGGGATTGTAGGAATTTTTTTTCTTACATTATTGTTTGGAAGGATAATGATGTTGTGTAAAACCTAGAAACAGTGATGCAAACCCCCTTCTACACAGCCAACATTTATCCGTTATCACATTTCATTTCGCTAATTATGCACTTGTGAGTGCTCACTGCTAATCCTCATTAATTGTAATTATGTTATTTTTAATATATTCTAAAGAACCTATGTTATTATCAGCACAAAAGCAGAAAAGTAAACAAATAACAAGGATATTTGGAGTTGACCTTCACGATATGGAGACCACTCATGCTTGCGCACATGGTGAGGAGCATCAAGAGGGGGAAGCAAACCCTTTAGAGCAAAATAATATAAGCAAAGATGAGTCTAGATATTCTGCATCAGAGTTATGGATATGAAAAAAAAATCAAAAACAAAAAATTTCACCACAAATTTCAAGTTATTGTGCATTGGAAAGAGACGGCGTCTTAGATATTGAGGCGTCTCCAAATACTGCAAAATTCTCACAAGGAAACGTGCACCACTTTCCCTTCCATTACCATCATCGGCTGTAGTCATAACAGAATCATCTGATTGGGCTTCACTATCGAACACTACCACCTACACAGAAGGAAAAGCTGTCTTTCAGCAGATTATTATTCTGCCTTACATGAAAATGATTCTAACACTATCGAACACTACCACCTACACAGAAGGAAAAGCTGTCTTTCAGCAGATTATTATTCTGCCTTGCATTAAAATGATTCTAACCAGTAAAGATGATGATATGTCCAACAGTAGTTTAAGGTACATGACCTCATACATCAAACAAAGACTGTACTTATCAATGATTGACAACAAATATTACAATGGAAGAATATAACATAAGAGTACCTTTGAAGGACTTCTATTCCTAATTCACCTAAAACCTTGAGGAAGAATTAAATGAGCTGAATTTTTTTTATTACTTCCACTACTTTGCAAAAGTCTAGCTAGAGGTAACTGTTTGCACCCGGCAACATAAGAATAAAGTAGGTCAAATAATTAATGTACATAATCAGTAATTATATTTATTCATAATTAAAGA